ATACTTGGCAATTCATTGTGACAGGTGCATGGTCAACCTGGTTATGTCTGCCCAAGTCACATGTTCCCTGTCCAATCACAAAGTAATCACTCCAGATCCTTTTATCATCAATAAAACATTATCCTTAGGGAGAAAACAGTAACAAAGCAAACACATAATAAGCTATGGAATTATCAGCAGATTATCAGCTCATTCGCAGAGCACCTAGAGATGGCTCTCTGACCTAAATTCTTTATCCCATACCTGAAGTAATCTGAGTATCCCATCAACACATCCAACAGGCCAGAGAAATAAAACGAACAGGTACTGAGTAGTTGTACCATCGATAAGTCAGTACAGAATTAGATTTCACTTCTTCTTTTCTACCTTTTACATTTTGAAGAGCCCAATTCAGATTCAATGAGCAGAGTACACCCACTCCTCATTTATCGACTATCTCATTATCCAACATTTCACAAACACGGCAATCGGAAAAAATCTACTATCTGACTATTTTGCACATTAACAACGTACATCTGGCAGTAATGAACACCAAGGTGCGAGGTAAGAGTGACGCTGGCAGTAGTGGTTAAGATTATGTGTCAACTTGGCTGGGCTATGATTCTCAGTGGTTTGGCAGTTATGTAATGATGCAGTCATCCTCCATTTTGTGATCTGATGTGATCGTCCTCCATTTCACATACAGCCGATTTTCACGTAACAACCTGGTCTTTGGAACTTAACCATGACGATAAGTGAGGAAAGGGTGTACTACTCTGAAAATAAGTGCTACTCACACTACTGAGTGTGTGACACTCTGCAAGGCACTTTTGCACAACTTTTCTTACTAGATGTAGAATCAGAAGACTTGTGTTTGCATCAGGGTTCTGTCACTTAGGTCAAGTGACCTTGAACAAGTTTGTCAAAAGGATAGTTCAAAGGTTAACCAAGATTCAAATCGAAGTCTTCTCATTTCAATCCAGTGCTCTTTGTATTATGCCAGAGTGTCAACCAAAAATACTTCCCTGTACCTAGAAATTAAAACTCAACATACTCATTCACGATGTTTATACACCACATGGTTATTGATACATGTAATGAAATAAAGAAAATAAACAGTTGTAGAAACTTATGGCTTGAAAGATACGCATACGGGACAGTCAAGGCAAGGATTCAAAATCGCAGCAAAGCAGTAATGCTGGACCTCAATACAGATTTCACAACTATGAAGGTGCTCAGTCTCTTTGGGAAATAAATTTAGTTTGGTAGGGAAATGCGACAATATCATAATTTACACAGAAAAGGCAGCAAAGGAATTTGGTTTTCCTTTTGATTCATGGTGACTAAAAGACAAAGCTCTCTCTCCTCCTTTATAATCCAAGAACCAGCTTGAAAGAGAAATTTATACATCAGTTTCCTCCTAAGTGAATGGAATGGACAAGAGTCCCCTCAGAGTTCCTGGAGCCAGAATGAATTCATGCAACTGAGTACACTTTGATCTTTGAGAAGGCTGCTAAGCACTAACATTATTAGTCTTTTTCTAACTTTTTCCTTTTTGTCCTTCATGTTTTTTCATTACATTCATTTGATCCCCTTTCATGTGCCCATCTACTATTTTATTTGTCCTCTTTCAAAATTGAGTTATTTTGGCAGTACTGGTTTATATTTGTGGAGAAAGAAAAAACTTCTTCTGTAGATAAATGGTGAAAGCAAAAATTGGAAGAAAAACTTAAAGCTAAATCATCTCCCCCGCCACCAGCACCACCGGCAAATATTTTTAAATCTAGTTATGGTGAAGAAAAAAGGAATAAATAGAAATTCCTGGGGAGCACTGTCATTCATTTCTGTTATTACTGGAGGTGGTCCTACAGGCAATGCAAAGCTTCTTTCATAACACACTGATGCTGAGAACCAGGTTGGATTACTGAGCAACACTAAGAACCATACCAATGAACACTGGATGCAGACAAATCACCATGTATTTATTGGGCACCTCCTAGTCCAGACTATCCAGTAACAAGGTGACCACTTATCATCTGGTGCCTCTGAAAAGAATCCACTTGTCAAGTCATAAAGGGATACGGTATTCAAAGCTAACAGAAGCATATTTAAGATGAAAGTGTTATAAAAACAGCTACCATTCTTTATAACCACTTTAAAGAAAACACCACAGGACAAAACAACTAATCAATAAGCGTTGTAGTCACATATACAGTGAAAAGAAGATAATGTGCTATCATTTTAGCACTCCAGCCCTTAGTGGCCAATGAAGGTGTAGTGACCTACCCAATTACACATCTCCAGAAAATATTTCCTTGTAAACCTAGTTATCTGGGATAACTGGTTCTTCTAAAAAATGCTTAAATGAGATAAAAATGACTCTACAAATCTGAATTTGTAGAAGGACATCATGTTTGGTAAAGTAGTGAAAAAGAGGAACACCCTCAATGAGATGGATTGACACAGTGGCTGCAACAATGGGCTCAAGCATAACAATGATTGTGAGGATGCTGCAGGACTGGGCAGTGTTTCATTCTGTTGTACATGGTGTCACTATGAATTGGAACCAACTCGATGGCACCTAACAGCAACATAAATCTGAATACCCGTACTCGTTGCCATTGAGTCAATTCCAACTGATAGCGACCCTGCAGGGCACAGCAGAACTGCCCCAGTGGGTTTCCAAGGCTGTAATCTTTACAGAAGCAAACTGACACATCTTTCTCCTGTGGAGAAGTTACTGGATTCGAACTACCAACTTTTTGGTTAACAGCCAAACACTTGTGCCACCAGGGCTCCTTATAAATCTAAATATCAAGAAACCAAACCTGTTGCCATTGAGTCAACTCCGACTCAAATACCCCCTGGTAAATACTCAAGTATATTCATTTTAAGTAATTAGGTAAAAACATGTTGAATAACCGGTTACGTATCCCACATATTTTTTTTTTTTAATTGAAATCTAAATCATTAAAAATTCATTTACCTCAACCAATGAGATAAGACGAAAACAAGAAGGAAAAAGAATGCAAAACAGAGTAAGAAATTTTCCCAGGATCAATCTACATGTTTTATCTCTCAGCTTCATAGGCAGCAACTGAATTGTCTATCAACTTAGTCAACTTCTCTTTAACTTGCTTTGTTCAGCATGCCAGTTCAAGACTAGGAAGCTACTTCCACAAAGACATAAGAAACTATGGGAGTTTTAGAAGAAGCCTATAAAACAGGAATTCTCTAAATTTATTTAAAGTCCTATAAGAAGCCAAATCCAGCCACACGCACTCCTTCCCCTATAGCAGCGATCAGCAAACTATGGCCTGCAAGCCAAATCTGGTCCATCACTTGTTTTTGTATGGCCCATGAGCTCAGAATGGTTTTCTCATTTTTCAATGATTGAAAACAAAAATCAAAAGAAACTATCTCATGATCTGTAAAAATTAAATAAATCCAAATTTCAGTGTCCATAAATAAAGCTTTATCGGAAGACAGCTACCCTCATTTATTCACATATTGCCTATGACTGCCATCGCACTACAATGGCTTAACTGAGTTAGCTGAGACAAGACATCGTATGGCCTGTGATGCTGAAAATATTTACTATCTGGCCTAAAAAAGTTTGCCAAAACCTGCCCTATAGTAAAAGTTGCTACTAAGTTGCCTTGAAATAACTGGCTTTAGCTATGTAGCTTTGCACAAGAGGCTCCAGATGGTTTTACTGAACACCATCTGAACATTATAATAGAAAATTTATTCTATCTCATTGTAGTTAAGCTAAAAGACAGCAAATTCCAAGGACTTTTTAAATTCACATTCTTTAACAAAGAAAGTAGTTCTTTTACCCCTTCATTATTTCCAGTAGGAAAAGGATTACAGGACTACTAGTTGTGTTACTTCCCTTACCATTTAAGAGGCCCAAAGTCTGCCATTTTTATACAAAAGACACACAGAATATATGGATATCTTTTTCTTGAGAAGGACAGAAAATACCAGAGGGTACAAAGCAGCGGTCATGGTACTGCCACTTTGGGGTATAATTATCTAAGCCCTTAATTAAGACTAGCTGCAATGTTACCTTCTGTCTCATAATAAAGTCTTCAATATAGTCTCTTCTTTTTGGTAAGAAATTTTTCATACATACAATAAATTGAAAGAACAGTTCAATGAAAATCCCTATAAACTCTGCCTCACTTCTCCATTATTTACATGCTGCCAAATCTGCTTCTTCTATTTCCTTATCTATCTTTTCTGGTCACAGTTGTTGAATCTTTAGAAAGCAAATTAAGAGACCAAATGGATAACATTTGCCCAAAAGCAAAAATGAGAAGGAAAGGAAGGGCAGGGAAACTGGAGGGATGGAAATGGGGAAGGCAGGGTGGAAATGGGAAGAGTGCTCACACATTGCAGGGAGCAACCAATCAACATCACGGAACAATTTACGTATAAATTGTTGAATGGAAAACGAATTTGCTGTCTAAATTTTCACCGAAAACACGATGAAACGTTCAAAAAAAGAAAAGAAAGTAAATTAGAGACCACTGTAATACTTCTGGAAACCCTGGTGACATAGTGGTTAAGTGCTACGGCTGCTAACCAAAAGGTCGACAATTCGAATCCACCAAGCACTCCCTGGAAACTCTATGGGGCTGTTCTATTCTGTCCTATAGGGTCACTATGAGTCGGAATCAACTCGACAGCAACGGGTTTGGTTTTTGGTTTTTTTTGGTAACACTTTTGGTTTTCTGGTAACACCTTACCCTCAATACTTCAGCAAACAATACCAGGATAATAATTTTCAAGGAAATAAAGATACACTAATATAGACAGGGTATTAAAGGCACACAGATTAGTGAAGATACAGGTAACCTCTGAAATCCTAATGACCCGAAGTTAACACTAGGGTATCATTTTACTGAGACAGTGAGAGTAGTCTGATTAATAGGATGATTATCAAAAGAGATCAGGGCCATTTACCTCCCATTCCCAAAGACTTCTTCATGAAAGACCATGCCTCTGGCACTTACCTAAGGGCAGCAGCATGGTAGGTGTCAACGTAATCAGAAATGAAGAGCTCTCGGTTTTTGATAACTGGGTCTGTAATGACAAGTTCTCTTCCAGAGTCTGCCAAAAAATTAAGAGGATATTAAAAATGAGCTTCTCAAAACAACTAGGAAAATTCTGTAAAACTTCTTTTCCAGGTTCACCTCTCACTAAAGAAAGCACAATAAATAACCAGGCCTGTGCAACATCTTTAGTGTTCAAAACAGTAAAGAATAATAATATATAGCAAGAACAGTGGGAACAAAGTGTGTATTTTTTGTCAATTGATGAAGTATCTTGTTGGGTGTGTTTATATCCTTGACTAAGGCCCTTTGGTGACACAAGTAGAGAAGAAGTAGGTAGAACGGGGAAAGGAGGTGTATCGATTTTAAAACATACCATTCGTTCTTTATGGCAATCATATATTTTGGCCTCACTGTCAACTAACAAATAAAACTGGATACTTTTAAATAACTTATCTCCCCATAGTATCCTGTGGTCCCCCTCAAAGATCATTAAAACAGAATTTTAACAGGGCGAAAACCAATGTTTCCTGAAAGGCACTAAGCACAAAATGAAAAAAGAAGGGAAAACAGAAAAAACATGTCACACTTTAGCAACACCAAATACTAAAATACTTAGTGATTTTGTCTATATTACTTTTTATTGCTAAATATTCCAGAACGGAGTGAAACCACACACTGGTTCAGTTAAAAAGAATAACCAAATTACTCATTATAACATGGAACCAAAATTTAACTACTTTAACAGAAATGTTTATAGTTTCAGAGAAGAAAAAAAGCTGGTAAGATCCAAAAGGACATCACTCTTCAAAACTGTTCTGATTACTGGGGGGTCGACTCAAAACACGTCGCCGAAAGCTGTGCAGGAGAATAGAAAGAGACAGGCATCAGGGCCTTAGAGAGCTGGATCCCAACCCTGGGGGATGCCACCACTTAGGAAAGGAGGAGCTTTGGCAAGTCCCTTAGCCTTTGTAAGCCTCAATTTCCTCACCTAGAACTGGGAACTGACAAATCTCATATCATTAATGAGTGACAAGTGAGAATCATCTAGCATGAGGCCTAGCACCTCTCAAAAATCAATAAGATGGAACTATTATACATATGAACAAATGTAACACACATTTATGTACATACTTCATTTGTCAATAAACGTTACTGAGGAGAAACTACAATCCCAGAGGAAGAAAAAAATAAGCTGCTCTGAAATACCTACCTTCCTATTGTCCTGAAACTCAAGACCTCAAATTAAATTCCTAAACATGCTTCACAAAACTTTGCTATAAAAACTGAAGTTCACAACCCTGACTATAGATTACAGAAAAGGAAAAATAAAATACAACCCTATAGGATTTAAAATATTATTTGCTCATCACTAGGTGAGAAAAAGGAATGAAAAATGAAATTACTGTTATTTCTATTCCAAGTTTAAGGGGAAGACACTATTAGTACACGTTTAGGGATTTAAAAAAAAGCAAAGCAAAAATAATGAAAGAACTCAGGGGAAAATGAACAGGTCAATTATGTACTTATTTATAAAAAGCTTTTTTCAGAGAAAATTTATCATAGTGGTTTATCTCCTTGTAATAAACGTCTGTTTTTAGAAAGAACTTTGCCCAAATATTTAAAAAAAAAAAAAAAGACCAGAAGGGAATATTTACCATTTTCATTATGTCGATCCTGAACCAAATGCTGATACACAGAATCTGGAACTTCAGACTGACGGTAGTACCATTTGACGTTCATGAGTAGATGGTCCCTCTTACTCTGAAAAGGAAAATCTAACAGCATTAGGAACAGGATTTCAGGTGTCCAGTGATGCATACCATAACCATGATCAAAAGCCCCTGGACACAGGAGGATAGGCAGAGAGGAAGACACACAATTACCGCCAGGATCACAAAAATAAGTAAGTTAATTATGAGGTCAAATTTTACTAAAATTGCAGCCATAGCATCCCTCTGACCCTACCCCTCAAAGTTGCATATATTTCAGGAAAGTAAGTTTACCATACTTCAATCTCTACATCTCCCCAGCTTGATTAACTGATTCATTCAATATTATATTTTTAAATTTAACATTAACTACATAATACTATATGAATATATCCTCCTCCTGTCTTAATCATTTTAGTAAGTATTTATAAAATGTTTTAGCACACCATCAAGGCTCATTAAGAACAATCAGCTGGAAAAAACTTGCTGAGTAAGGCCTGGCACAAAGTCATCTCCTCTCCAAGGTTTGCCTCCCATTGAATTAGATTCCCCCTCTACTTTACTGCCACAGAACCTTGCAGTTATTGCTACTATGGCAAACTAGTAAAACTGCAAACTATGGGTGGTAATGATGGTACTGTGAGTTCATAGAGCAGGGACTCTGCCTTATTTACCCTGGAATCTCCAGAGAATAGAACACCTTCTACAGAAATGTTTGTGAATCAGCGAAGAGTTCTGTGATGATCAGGGTCCCGTAATGTTTATGGGACACTTAACTGTTTTATCCCCCTAAAAGTTAACTCTGTCACCAGTACATTCAAAGATATAAGTGATCATGCATTGCCCTTCTGCTGGAAGGCTTTGGGTCTACAGCTCGAAGTAGATCATGTCTGTGCACCTGGCTGTGAAACATTTTAGCATGGCAGTGCACTGAGATTTCTCAGGCCTTCCTAAAGTACTTTTCCAACCCTGGTGGGGCTCTCTACATGTCCCCAAGGTGAGTGCAATATCATTCCTCTTACTACCCTCTACCTTCTCATCACAAGTCAACTGGTAGAAAAGCTAAAATTCAAAAAAAAAAAAAATTCAGTATTATATTTAATTATAATATTATATTCAATATATAAAGGAGATGGCTAAACCCTAAAATATTTCAAAAGAGTCTGCATTAACAAAGGAAGACACCTCCTGCTTAATGAAGGAGGTCATAAATATAGTCTTTAATGAAAGACTAGGAAGGCTCAAAAAACCTTTGCTAACTAAAATATTTAAGCCATTTAATGAAACAGAAAGAAAACTGTCAAAATTCTTGACTGAACTCAAATGTGAAGAATGCTAACCCAACTTAAATACTGTGCACACGAAGACTCTCACTTTGCAATTAACTGTGTCAAAGAGGCAAGTCTACAAAAATAGCACATCATCACTGGTTTTAATAAAATGGAATGTATACAAAGAATAAACTCATTGCCACTGAGTCGATTCTAATTCATAGTGACCCTACAGGACAGAGTAGAACAGCCCCATAGGGTTTCCAAGGCTGTAAATCTTTACGGAAGCAGACTGCTACATCTTTCTCCCGAGGGGCTGCTGGTGGGTTTGAACAGCCGGCCTTTCAGTTAGCAGCTGGGCACTTTAACCACTGCACCACCTGGGCTCCTTATACAAAGAATAATCCTACACGGTAAGTACTCTTTAATTTTTATTCATTATGCACTTTTATATCAACATTTTTAATGACAAAAAATTATTCTACGGTATTTATGGTGTAGATGGAAAGAAGAGGACAAATCAGTATGGTAAATAAATATAATAAATGTTACTATGTAGGAGTTTAGAGAAAGGAGCAAATGCTTCCAGCTGGGGATTATGGAGAAGGTAACACATGACCTGGGCTTTGCAAACAGAAAGATTTCAATGGGTTCTTTCTGGGCAAAGGAGGAGATCACAGAAAGACATAGTGATAATCAAAGTATAAGACATATCCAGAGAGACACACAGTCCAGCTGCATGCAGCCCAGGAAAATACACTGAGGGAGACTGAGAAGAACCTGGATTCCAGCTGTAGTCTGGCCAACAGTGAGCTTAAAAAGGACAACTGGGGTCTTCTAACTGCACCGTCAACCAAACACACAGGCAATGAAGGAGCAAAATATCCGGACAAAGGGCAATAGCTGGAAGGCTACAGTTTCTTTCCTAGACAGGATGTTAAAGACCAAGACCAGTATGAGAACAATTGTCAAAGAAACATACTAACCTGGGGAGAAGGCACAGCCTGTTTGGGGTGTTCAGGGATAACTTAACCAAAACCTGGTTCAAGCACTATAGGGTAGGAACTAGGAACACGGACTACTGATACTGGAAAGAATGCTGTGGTTCAAATCCCTGCACCACCACTTGCCTGGTTCTGTGACTCTGGGTAAGTTACTAAGATTCAGTAAGCCTCGTGTTCATTTTCTATAAAATGAGGATACTGGAAACCTACCTCAAAGGACTACTGAAAGAATTACAAAGACTGAAAGGCATGTGAAACTGAGTAGATACTCAAGAGAATATTGATTATTTTCTCTGTTAGTAGGTTGTTGTAACCAGAGCTTCACGGAAAAATGTCAGGACCTCTGCTGAAAATTGTAGCAGTTATTTCTTCACCAAAACATAGTCTCTTTCAAGAGACGATAGTGATCTCTACTCACTGAGCCACCCTGAATCCTTCAATGCTCACAGTGATGAGTTACTTCCTTGGGCACATAGGAATTCAGATCTATTTGCAGTCCTATCAGCAATGTTCTAAAATCTATACTTGATTTCTGTAACACAATGAAGATGTCTGAAACCCTGAAGGGCAACAGAAATGCCTTTTAGGTGCAGTAACAGGCAATAGTACAATGTCTATTTTTCAGAACCAAGTCAGTGATTCTGCAACCTTCTGAGGTATAGTATCTCTGCTACCTCATGGCCCAAGCACTTATTGATTACATATAATGAAATTACTGATCTATTTTATTTGTACCTAGATTTATGACTCTCAATATTAGACTTTACAAAGGCAACTGAAGGACTATTGGATTTGCAGTACCACCCAATAACCAGTGAGTGGCAGCATTGTGTTAGAAACAAGCCTCCATGCTCTATCAACACACAAAGCAAACAAAAGTTCTGAACAAATTTAAGTAGCTCTATTAGGCACAATCTTCCTAAAATAGGCCAGTAAATTAAAGCTTAAACATCTGTAATGGAGGAAGTGTGTTGTTTCTGAGACTGCTAGACTAAAACCAGGTAATCTATACGAGTCTAGTCCTGTCTACAACACTAGTTTGCTGGGAGTGAGCTTGGTCAAGTCACCTGTCTGAAAAGTGAAAGGGATAGAACAAGATGATTTGTATGTTCTCTTTCTATTCTTATAATTTACGTAGATAAAATGGGGGAAGGGCCCCTCACATTTTCTCTATATCAACATAATGGCATTAACTAACACCACCACCCTTAAGTCTAAAATATTAAAATGTCATCTTCTAGGAGGAAAAACAAAAAGGCTACTTCCACCGAAGTTGATTGCTGCTAACTTCGGAGCAGCTGAAGGGAAAAGAGAGCATCTCCTCTCCCAGTAAACACGCCAAATCCACCTGAGATGCTGAGTGTTCCTCAAACGTTAACCACAGGAAATCTTCACTTTCCTCCCTAATACACAAAGACTTTTGCTCAAAATCACAGAAAAGTACCCAATAGGTACATAGGGATCATTCTATTAAACCCAAACCACCTGGGTTTGAATCCTGCTTGGCAACTTACTAAGTAAGCTGTGTAACTTTGGGCAAATAATTTACCTTCTCCAAGCCTCAATTCTCTCACATAAAATGGGAAAAAACAATAATCCCTACAACTCCATTAGGTTGTGAGGATTAAATAAATTAATATAAGCAGACTGGATTGGCTCCCAACAAATGTTGAATATTACTATCATTCTTTTATAGATGAAGAGAGAAGTCAGAATATAAGTAGTCTCCTACAGATTTTGCTTTTCTCAGATCCAAAATTAAGCTAGTAATAGCGATACAACCAAATAAATCCTGTAGTAAACTGGGGAAAGTACCTTAACTTTCACAATAATTCTAGAAGCATGTCAAGTATTTCCAACAAATATGTCTCATTATTTACTAGTGATATAAATGTATGGTTGCATAAAGATCAAAGTGTTTACAAATGACATATTTTAAACAGAATGTGGAACAAAGAAGTAAGTGGTGAGAAGCCTCCCACTTGAAGGCACCCTGCGGGTATATTCTGAATACAGAGCAGGGCTCACTGGAAAGTAAATAATTTCCCACCATTTTATCTTTAAAAAAAGAAAGAAAGACTACAGTGAGGGGACACACTAGAGCTAAGCAAAAACCAGCAAACGTGCATGCACATTGGCATCTGATCTGCTTCCCTGGAGTGGTTCTGCACTAAAAGGAAAAAGCCCTTTCTGCGTTCAATTACTGATTCTTCCACATCCCTGGCCTGGGGTTCTTTTGAAATGAAGGATGTGTGTAAACTGACTGAAATGGAGAGCTTAATAGAGAACAAAGCCCACACCCACCTGAGCTTAGAAAAAAGACAAATAGCCTAAACATGGGTGTTTGGGAGCAGAATAGAGAGGATTCCAGGAGAGCCTGAATGTCAGACAACAGTGTTGAGAATTAATTAAAAATTCAGAACATAAATTAAAAGTTGAGAATTAGATAACTGATAAAGGTAGACTAGGGAAAAAGCAAGGCAATGGAGACGGAAAGGTAAACAGGCAAGCTACTGTTGAAGGGAAACCATATTCATCTTCTCAATGCCACAGAACTCGGCCACCCCAAATGGAAACACAAGATACAAGTCAACAGGGGGTTCCCTTTCTAGAGACTGCTTCAGTATTAATATAGTACTTTCGTTGATTTAAAGAGTTAATCTGAGTTTTTCCCAGGGCCAGTCTTAATTTCATCCTCTGGAAAAACATTTTACCACACATAAAAAAAATATTAATAAAGGAAACAGGTGGGGTGACAAACGACCAGTAGAACAAGT